GAAGGGAGCAAAGATTTATTACATTTCTGGATCTGGGCTTCTGAATTACATTTCTTATCTGCAAGTGCGAAAAAAAAAAAAACAGTTTGGAGTGAAATAACAACAAGCAGCAATGCAGACCCAGAAATCCCCCACCACGCTGTCCCCCCAAAACTATAGAACTACACTACCAGCCATTGCCCAGTCAGGCAATAAGGGAAGGGGAGAGGGGAGATTTTTTCATAGAATGAACCTTAATTATCATCATGTACCTAAGTATCCATGGATGGGACTAGATACAAAATGAAGTAACAAAAAAATTGCAAAAAACATTTATATACACTTTAAAAATACAGATACCTACTCTCCCAGCAGAGGAAGTGTTACTACTCTAAAACTATTGCCCATTGAGGCAATAAGGAAAGGGAAAAGAGGAGATTTTCATACATCCGGACCTCCACGTCTCATTAAGTACCTATATGTCCAATATGGGACAGGGTACAAAATGAAATAACACAATATTTATAGTAGCAAACACTGTACATACAATTTTTAAAAGTATCCTGCTCTTAGTCCTATCCCACCCCCCAAATGTCAAAGAACCCAAACTACTTTGAAAGTATTATTTACAAAGAGAAAGAGGGGAAGGCAGAAGAGACTGCTATGCAGGCCACACTCCCTGGTTCACTAGGAACCGACAGGTTCAAGAGAAGGACAGGGTACCCAATGAAGTACTCCAAGAGGGAAACAAAAAGATCCATCTGCCTGTCTAGCTTGCTATCTAAAAATTAGTTAACCCCAACACCCACAAAAATCTGATTAATTCCTCTGCTAGCTGTTAACCCACACAGGTTGAATTTCCACTTTCTTCCTATATCTAAATATACATATAAAAGGCAAGGTAAGAAATGCGGTAACAAAAAGCAGCAAAACACTTATATACAATACCCTCTAGATTATCCATATATATATATATATATATATATATATATACATATACATATGTGTGTGCATATATATATGTATATATAGTATTATCTGTATCCTTGCTCTGAAACACACATCTGTCTCTCCTTGTCTGTCTTTCTCTCTCTCTCTCTCTCTCACACACACACACAGCAGAAAAAATTTCAAAAAGTGCAAACTACTCTAAAAATATTGCCCAGACAGGCAATAAGGGAAGGGGACAAGAGGAGATTGTTATACATCCAGAACTCCATGGTTTATGAGATACCTTGCAGTGTGGGTACCCAATGAAAGAATACAACATAGTAGTAAAATAGGTTTAGGCAGTAAGTATCTATCCCTGACCCAGACCCCCAACCCTCCAACAGCCACTCTACCAGCTATTGCCTACACAGACAGTATGGGAATAAAACCAGAGGAGATTATTACACATCCAGACTGCCAGGTTTCATTAGGTATTTTACATCCTAGAAGGACAGAGTATGAAATGAATTAATAACACACAGTAGTATATTTATTTATATATGTGTGTATACACACACACAACCACTCTCACCCAATCCAGAAAACAAAACGAATTGCTCTATTGCCAGAGGGCAAAAAGGAAAAGGGAAAAGAAGAGATTTGTCATACTCTGAACCACAATTTTCATAAAGTATACATGCATCCATGCTAAAGGATACATATAAGATGTAATATCGGTAACTACACTTTGGGTAATGAGGAGAGAGGGAAATGGGACATTTGCCATACTTCTGATTTCCATGGTTCATAAGATCTATATGTATGCATAAGGATAAATGATGTACAAAATTACACAATACCCACAAAATAGCAGCAAAAACAACTGTATATATTTTTAAGAGAACATACACTATTTGCAAAATTCACCATCTTTTTCCCCAAAGAGATCAGATAGATATTACTCTATAGCTGCCATTCATACTGGCAAAATGGGAAGGAAAAGAGATCTTCATATGATAATGTTTCACTTTTTATCAGGACAAAATACATAAAAATTAAAGAATAAAAAGCATATCTGTGTATTTTATAAGTATATATCTAAAATCTCCCAAAGTAATCAGTCAACTACTCTGGTAGCTATTGCCCAAGCAGGCAGGAAGGGAAAGAGAGAAGAGGAGACTTATATTTTCGTACCACTTCTTACTTGCTGTTTAGTTGGCAATGCAAAGAATAAAGCATAAAATACAAGAAAGCAAAAACATATACTTAATTTTTAAAGAACAAATGGAGACATGTGTAGGTGCAGGGGATAAGCAAGCACCTTAAAAAAAAGAGAGTTCCAAAGGCTGGAGAAGATTTACCTCATACCTGTGAAATCTGGGTCTCGTTCTGCAACCAGACCCAGCCAGGGATCCTTGAGAATGACATATCTCCTTAGACAAACATACCTTATTAGAGTCCCATGAAATCGTGGATGATGTGATGCTCACCAATCTGATTTCAGATTACGATTCCAGACACTACAGTTTGAACAGAGTCTTACAGGCTGTATCAGTAACCCAACAGACTCAGCACTTCACCTTCATTTCTCACTTTCTAATATTCAGAAAGGACTGTCTTGTATGCAGTTAAAACCCGTAGAGACCCATATCATCCACATACCCAGCATTCTTCTGACAGCTTTTTAGTTCCTACGTGGCTAAAATGCACAGGCACAAAACAAAAAAAGAGAAAACATGAATGGCTTAGAACACTAGCATTAAGTAGAACCTTTGGAAATATGAAGGCTCGTGAACACTAGCAATGACAAACAATGTAATTTTACTTTTGGTAATATGAAGGCTTGTGAATACTAGCAATGACAAACAATGTAATTTCACTTAAAGAGATATAAAACAACAAGCAGGAAGTCACAAGCTGTGGTAGAAGATGACGCTAATTGCAATATCTTGTCACTTGATAGTAACAGAACAAACCAGACTCCTTAGATTTCTACTTCATAACTTTTCAGATCTCCAAAGTTGTTATTCTACAATTCCATATTTCCATTTTATCTTTCTTAAAAATCTAGTACGATATGCCTTTTATATCAGTTACATCAAATAGATCCTCCCTCTGCAATGAATACAACACTTGCCAAACAAGTCCTTAATTGTGTCCTAAATCCATGTGCTTGTATAAAAAAGCATGGTGAGTGCTGTGCTTCAACCTATTTGAGTTCTCAGAAACAGTGTCTAAGATAAAGTTTTGGGGGGAAATTCTTCAAAAGCTACAATTATATTTATACCACATGTTCTACATGTTGCTTAACCTTATATTTCTGACATAGTTTTTAGTCATCTCTATAGATAAACATACTATTAAAAATTATGAAATTCTGTGGGAAAACTTGAGGTGATGCCTTACAAAAATTATAAATAACTGAGAAGAGGTCTACAAATATAACTACGAATAGTATGGATCTGGTACCAATGGAATGAACAGCTTTTGAGGACAAAGATAGTAATGGATTACAAGTGAACTTTTTTTAGCCCACGTTTTGGTAAGGCTTTACTTGTAAAACACCCCTGTAACACCCACACACACTGACAGGAAAACAATGATATAACTTAAGACAAGATTTGCCATATGCAAAGCTAACATATATTACAGGAGCAATGTAAATATGGACAGGTAAAATAAGAACCTTAACTGATTTTAAGAAGTAGCAAAATTTAAACTCTGTATCAAAGTGGAATTTAGTAATATAACATGGTAAAAAACCAGCAACAAAAAAAACCCTTTGTCAAAAGTTTAGTATTTTTCCCCCACTCTAAAAATATAAAAACATACTTTCAATATCAACTAAATTATCATTTACTGAAGCACAAGAAAAATAAAGACCTATAAACACCCAGTTTCAATTAAGACATCTTTAGGTGATTCCATGATTCTCAGGATATAGCATTTCCTAATCTCATACTGAGATAAATGTTTAGAAAAGACTAAGCTGGGGGACCATGTCAGGATTAAAGGCTATTTCTTAGCTTGCCATCCTTTACAATTCTACTTTATAAAAATATTTTCATAAAATAAAACTTTATACACAAACCCACATATTCTCACTTTACAGCTATTGCATAAAAAAAAGGTGACCTTTACCATTGTCTGATTCTGTGGAGTTTTAAGTGCTTGCAAATGGGTAGCATCCCCTCTTATGTACATAGATTTTAACAAAGAAAATATGAAGTACTCAACAATTACTAAGAAGAAAACTTTTCTCCTAAGAATCAAAGAAACACAACAATCTAGTTATAATTCTGCATAGCTCAATAAATTCAAGTACAGTATATCTCCTTTAGATGGAGTAAAAATGCCATACACTTTGAATATCTTCCCTCATTTTTCTTTCTTTCTTTACCCACTCTTTTTAATTAGTTAAAAGAAAAAGTGAGGTCATGATAATGGAAAACTGATTTTCAACTAAAGGACTGTTTTGATAGGAAAATTTCAAGCCCACCATATTAAACTGGAATCAAGACACTCTTATTTCTGTTCTCTTTATTCCTTTAAGGTACTATGGTGAACTTCAAATAAAAATGTTCAATTTCTCAAAGACTTAGTTTAAAATATGATATTTTATCATATAAAATGAAGATCCACCCATGGATATTACTCAGAGAGAAAGAAAGTGTCTATGATCTATCATGCCAAAGGCAACTTAAATAAATTGCTTTCTTTGTGATTGTGATAAAGTCATGATAAAAGACACTAGTATTAACAAAATACCTGTCATGAGTATAGAAATAGGTACGTAAACTATCATAAGGTTTATCTATGGCAGAAAGTGGTAAAGGTATACATATTTGGAGAATATTGGAATTCACACATATAATAATTTTAAAGTTAACCTGGTTTGGAGCTTCTTCAGTTGATAACGCTATAAACAATGAAAAAGAAAGTGCTAAGTATTTGAAAATTTTTATCTTTTGCCTTTGTTATTTAGCCTCTCAATACAACAAAAAATCAAAAATTTCAAAGCACCTGGCTATTATGCAGAAAATAAAGGACTAATCAAAACTCCAAATCAAAGTAGACCTGCACATCTGAAATCAGTTCTCAACAGTTGCATGTTTCATCAACTCCATGTATCATACTTAAGCTAATTTTGTAGCACATTCAACCAGTAACTACCAACAAGAAGCAAGAGATAGCTCACAAACCAGAAACCCAAAAAGATGGTGGCTCCCTTGATAGATCTTTCCTCTTCTCATTGTGTCAATACTTTCCAGATACTGAGAAACAGAATAGAATAGAATTCCAAAAACAGTTTTTTTCCCATGTGTATATCTTCAAAGTAGAAAAAGTACTCAATGTTTTTGTAGGTGGTTGGCATACAGGTGAATATAATCTTGTAATAAATAACTACATACTGCCCAAAGACAATTCAGAAAATACATGAAAAATATAGACGAGCCCTGAGCTAACTAGAACTCCTAAGAGTGCAAACAACTCGGCAGCAACCTGGCTTCACGTTGGCTTTTTTTGCAAAAAGCAGCACAGCCCAAGTTAACAAGCTCTCTGAATGGTGACAAAATGAGGTGCAGGTGTGCATGCTACAGCCACTTTGTCAGAGTTTTAAGGTTCTTCTCCATCCACTGGATATTCAATTGGATGACTTCCAAAGCCTCTTGGACACAACGCAGTCGAAAGGTTGCCTCCGACTGATTTTCAAAGAACGTCTGGACCTATAAATTGTAGAGAGAAGTATTTCAACGGAAGAAAAGAACAATAACTCTCTCTCTCTGTTATATATATATGTGTAATATATGTTATATAATATATAGTACAGTATGTTATGTATTATATATAAACACATATATAAAGTGCCTGTGTTTTATTTTTTAGTTGAATATCCTTTTCAAATAATTTTTAATTTGATGTGATGGCTATGCTAATATCTTAAAAGAAGCAGAAACAAGAATTACTTTAATAAACTGGGGTGCTGATATCAAGTATGGTGAAATCTGAAGTAACTAAAAAAAAGAAAATATTCCACTTATTCCCATAAGGATCAAGTCTTCAAATTTAAAACAGAAAAACAAAATTCATGTAGAAGTAAATGAAGTAGAATTTAAAATTAGCTTTTGTGACCAATTTTACCCTTCAAAACAATTTTATTAGCACTTAAACGTGACATAATGATTTTAATTCAAAAGACTGTAATAGGAATACAACTGCTGAAATATAAATCAGAATTTTTCCTCATTGACATATATTCACCCTTCCAAAAATATCCCAAAGCAGAATAGCTACCACAGATGAAGGCAGGCAGAGAGAAGTGACAGGAATTAACAATGGAAGCTACCATCTCACTTAAACTACCTACCCTGAGGGAAAGGGATACCCATTGCCCCTACTGACATTTTACACAACCAACCTCAGACAAATGTGCCTTTGTTGAAAATAGGTGAGTAGATCCAGCAACAATACTTTGTATGGTATAAGACCCCAGATGGAACCTGAAGAAACACAAATAAAAGAGCAAGGAAATGACGTAGCTATTAGTGAGCAAAGTTCCTGAGTGCAAAGAATATGCTTTAATGTAAGCTACACATGCCCAAGGCAGAGTGGAGTCCTGCTGCTGGGAATTGCAGCTCAGTCAAGCTAAAGCGGTCCTGCACACACTCATGCCAATGCGTAGGAAAGGTGGGCAGAAATAGGGAAGACAGCCTCCAGATAAATTATTAATACATTTAATTTACTGTAAATTACTTCACACACCCAGAAATGTCATTATTGTTTTAAAAGAAACACCCATGACTATGAGTTCTTAACTGGCTCCTTGGCAATTAAGAGGTATTTTTCTATATGCATAACTAAGCAGTGACTCAGAAATAGTCTGTGGTCACGCATAGATAAGTGACCTGATATTTTGATTAGGACTCAATGGAATACCACTGTTAAATGACTCATTTTAGAGGATTATGTTTGCAAATGTGAAAATTTCTGGGTGTTTCAAGTGAAATGTCACTGAGGCATATTTCCTCTCATAGAAAATCATTACTCCTGTGAACCACAACACTGGGAACTTTTCTCAAATTCAGAGTCTGAAAATACTAGAAGCTGGGAAACTCACTTCTGAACAAGCTTATTCCAGTTCTCTTTGACAAAATCCCATGCCAATAAGTGTCCAGGAAAATGTCGGCTCACTGTTCTAATGATGAATGACAACTTTTGTGTTCTGATGGTATCTCCATTGAGGCTACTTGTCATTAACCTAAGAAACAAAGCAGATTTAGCATTCAAAATAATTATTCATGAAGACTGAATTTAATTAGTCTTGGTTTTCTAATGAAGGCTCTGTAGCTTTTTAAAGAATAGAAGCTTGGAGTTAGTCTAAGATCAATAGGTTGAAAATTTGTCTTTTTTAAAACTAACTCACTAACACATAATAATAAATAATTCTTGGTGTAATAGCATTTATGAAATATATTTTAGTAGAATTTATTTTAACTGTAGCATTTTCTTCTGTTAAAAACCTTATTTGGGGGCCCTCCCTGGTGGTGCAATGCTGCTCCCCTCAGCAGTGTACTTCATCAGTCTACCTATTCTGCTCCCTACTCAGTCTCTGGTGAATCCTCTCACTGCTCCTGAACCTCTGGCCTATACCCTAATTCTGTATGCATAAATAAATAAATCTTAAAAAAAAAAACCCACACAAACTTTATTTGATTTGAATAGGCAGATTTCTTATCACTCCTAAAAACCTGGAGCTACATTTTAGAATCTTATGAGTGGTTAGCATTTATTGCTATTCCCTATTACTAGATAATGTTCTAAATCACTGATACAATGATACTTAAAATATTCTTGTTTATAGCTTAGGAGACTGAGATTATGTAACTGAGATTATGTAACTGACCTTGTTATACTGATCATAAATATTAAAGTATGGCATTTGAATGTAAACAGTCTCATCTACTATACAATAAAACCTGTTAACAGTGAGAAACCATATACCCAGAGAAGAATGCAATAGTATTTTTAGTGGGGGGTAAGCCCACATGTCCACTGAAACTTGGTGAGTTACAAAAAGTATGATAGTTGTGTTATGGAATACTATGCAGCTATTAAAAACAAAGGAAATGGCTTTATGAACTGACATGGCAAATCTAAGAGTGATTATTCATTTATAAAGAGTGTCACAAAACACACAGGTAAGGCATAAATCTGTGTTTATGTATGTAAATACACAAGCTTGACACTGTTAAAAGAGAAAATAAAAATGGAAGTGAAAGTTGAGATGATTTCATATTTTATTCTACTTATATTAGATATTGTTAAGTACTTTATAATTGGAATTTATTAATGTATACTAGTTTAGTAAAATACTATTACTAATGTAAAAACTAAAATGTTTTCTCTATTTACGCAACTTAGAGGCTGGTTACTGCTTATATATTGTATATCCTGTGGAAAGTGGATGTAGACAGGTGCAGAGGACATCTCAGAAAAACTATTTAGGTTTGCCTGAGCAAAAATATATCAGAGAATCAATGGTACCCAAGTGTGTCCCTCTATCTTTCTCATGTTGACCTTCAAGATACCTTCACACTTCTTGTAGCTACATAGAGCTCATCTACCCTACCAATAACAATTCATCCCATTAAGAAACCCTACTTAGACAGTCTGTCCTTCCCCCATGTTGAACTACCATTTCCACATATGTATTAGTCACCTAAAGGTGTAATATATAAACTTTGACATGCTACCATTTTTTGAAGTGTCTTTATTTTCAGAATTATAGCTGAGACAGAGTAGTAGCTAACCAAAAAGAATAAGAACCTGTTAATGGGATGAAGACATTTTAATCAGAAAGTAGGAGGAAGTTGTGATGCTGGCATCTACCAATGTCTTCTGGCCAAGGATACAGTCTCTGTCCACTAGGAACTCAGACTTTCACAAAGTTCAGAGCAATAAGGATATATATTACAATACGGGGTGGAAAGCTCTATGGTAGGACAACCCTTGAGGACACTGTGGGGATGAGTAAGAAGATGGAAAGAAGTACAGTTTACTGGCTTTATTATTTGTGCTTTTCTATCCTGGTGCATCCTGAGGTGAAGTTCAGAAACTCCAGGCTGCTTCCACTCTAGGAGCAAAATGTTTATGCCTTTGATTTCTATAAGTCATATCTTTTGGGGAGGTTTCATACCAGTAAAGCTTCCGTACATCCTCTGAGCTGGCAAGAGCTTCAAGAATTTTATTCTTCTCTGCCTCCAAGCCTATAGAGACATACTTGCTTAAGAGGAAAGTCCAGCCTTTCTCAGTTTTTGCTCCCACTTTGAACACGGTAGTCATAATGTCAGTAGGTAGGCTGTAAAAGAGGTTGTCAAACATAAGAACAAGAAACCCTGAATCTAAAGACAAGAAATTGACTAGCGGTGTTTTAGAATCAGAGCAGATGATAATTAGAAGACTTTTCACTGTACCATTAACAGTCAAAAAAAAGAAAAAAAAGATGATTTCAGTGGGTGACTTTAAGGAACATCATTCAATTCAATACAATAATTATTCACTGAGCACTCAAAAAGTACCAGTAAGGACTTGGCTGGATGCTGGGGAGGAAAAGAGGAATGAGACACAGTCTCTGCCCATTAAGAACTCAGACTTCACAAAGTACAGAGCAATACGCATATAGATTAAAACACAGGGTGTCAAGCTCTATAGTGGAAATATAGAAACAACTATGTGGGTGAATAAAAAAATGGAAAGAAGTACAATTTACTGGCTTTATTAAGAACTCAGAGCTGAAAAGAAACTCACAAAAAATTATCCCCCACCCAAACTCTCCAGTGATTCTTTCCCCAGAGTGCCTAGTAAAGAACCTGGAGAGAACCATCACCAAAATATTTCCACGAATGGGTAACTCCACATGCTATGTCTTCCCAAAATAAACAAGACATGTTTGATGACATATATCCATTAGGATGGCAGCTACCAAAAACAAGGATTGGCAAATATGTGGAGAAAAGGGAACACTATACAATGCTGGTGGGAATATAAAATGGTGCAGCCACTAAGGAAAAACAGAAGCACCATATGATCCAGTTATATCACTTCTACATACATATCTGAAAAAAAAAAAAAAAAAGCAGGGTCTCAAAGTGACATGTGTGTACTCAGGCTCATAGCAGCACTATTCAGAGTAGTGAACAGGTAGAAGAAACCCAAAATGTGACAGGTAATATGCAATGGATTACTCAGCCTTAAAAAAGGAAGGAAATTCTGACACTTGCAGGACATGGACAACCCTTGAGGACATTATATGAAGTAAAATAAGCCAGTGATAAAAAGATAAATACTGCTTGCTTTCATCTTTATGAGATATTTAAAATAATAAAACTCAGAAAAAATATAGTGGCATGGTGGTTGCCAGGGACTGGAGAAACAGAAAATGGGAGCTGTTGTTTTAATGGGCAGTAACTCAGTTTGCAAGATGAAAAAGTTCTGGGGACTGTACAACACCACAAATGTACTTATACTACTGAACACTTACAAGTTAATACAGTAAATTTTAAGTTATATGTAGTTTACCACAATTAAGACATTTTTTTTGAATGCAGTTGCACAGAGTTCACCTTCATTAACACAGTCTTATAACATCTCATGATACAGAATGGAAGGTCTGGTTTCAGTATGACATAAGGTAAACACTTGAGTATGAGCACACCCCACCTTTGAGTTCCGTTGGATGCCACCCATTCATCAAACAGCTTCATGGCAGTAGTGCTGCAGTTTTCTATGCCGTGGGTGCAAGCAAATTCTAGCAAGGCTGATCGAAGCTCTCGAACAGATGGGGTGCCCTCATCAGTCCAAGTTTGTTGCCGGATTTGGTTTTGAAGCAATTTAAATACTCTATTCTAGAAAGGAAAAATGGATTATAATAGAGTAAGAATAATTAGGACAACCCAAAAAAATCAGGAAAACTAGATCTCTTTTTCTGAACATTTAAGCAGAAAAAAAAAAATAGAGCTGGGGCAGGGGTGTGAAAGCTCAGACATTACTCATTAATGTCTCCCAACACATGAAGCCTACATAGGGCTCAGACATCTGTGTAGCTTAGAGGCTACATATAGCCTCTGCCTATTCACAGCAGAGACAACCTGTAAGGCTGCTATCTTAACAATATAAGTCAAAGAGAATTAATCATTTCTGTGCAGCAGGAAACCTTTCTTTTGTGTATGACTCACCTATAAAGCTGTTTATCTACCAGAGTATCACCTATAACTACTATTGAGAAGTTGGAACTTCGTGATCTCATGATATTAGAACCCAAAGTCCATAAAACGATAGACAGGTAGCCTTTAACTATTTCTGAATCCAATATTAAAGGTATATTTAAAGTAAATAGTTTGATACAGTAACAAATTAATCTTACCAAATTAGCAAGAAAATGAGGCCTATATGGAAGACTAATTGTTTATTATTTCTTCCCTCCCTATCTCTTAAATTAAAAACGTTTGACCCACAGGAAAGCTATAAGTATAACACAATGAACACCCATATGTTGCTCACCTAGATTTACTGGTTTTTAACATACTTGCATTGTTTTCTGTGTCTCTTCTAACGCATACACATGCACACTCATTATTCTGGTTTTAACTAAATCCTTTTGAAAGTTATAGTGTGTGTCCCAGCACCCTGAAAACACCTGATCTTGTCTGAAAGTAAGTTACAGCTATGGTATACAATTTATAAATACCTCATTTTACAGCTCTCATAAACAATTCTCCTAAATAACCATAATATCCTATCATACTTAAGAATATCAAAAACTATTCAGTAATACCACTACTATTCAGTCCATTGTTAGTTACTTCTGAATGGGATGCCATTCTTCAATGTACACTAAGGTGTTAAGAAACCAAAAATCTCATTTTTTTTTAAATCTCCCCACAACAAAAGTACAGATGGTGTACATAGTGCATGGAAAGATATCTATAATGCAAGCTGTGGTGATATAGGAAGGGGTGACATGAGGCTGAAAGTATCATCTGAAATTTGTAAAAATGAGTGGCACCTAAAAGGAACAAAAATTCTAATAAAAAAAAATCATAGGCATTAAAAAAATTCATTTCAATAAATAAGGGGAATCAAAATGAAAAAAAAAAAAAAAATGACAGATGCACATGCCCTGCCTGCAATGTGTTATCAGCATGGGGTGTTCCTTCTCACTTCTTTAATGCCACCACCACTATCATGTTTTGGCTCAAGTAAGTAAGAAAGAACCATAGACAACCACATGCAAATTAGTTTAACGTCTTCAAAGAGTACTGCATTCTTCTGGAATACCACTGTCAATAACTAAAATGAATTCGACTTGGAGAGTTTTAAAATGTTTGTACCATTTAACTTTTCTCTGAGTCTTTTGTGAAGCTAATGACTAGAATGGGAAAAGAAGTTGTGATAACATATCAACTCACTTTTTGTTTGCTTCAAAGCCATTAAATATACAACAGACACCTTGTGGAATGTGTGATAAACAAAGCTTGTGAGTCACTGGAAAAAAACTGTCCATGCTGACTGATAATTTAAGGAACATAAAAGCAATACAGAGAATCACTGGACACACATGACTGCACTGGTACTTGCTGTTTTCAATTGACTGGCTTGACCCTCTCAATGGCATGATAACAAACTATCGTAAAAGACTGAAGAATAAACCACTTAAAAGCTACTCACTACTGTCAAACAGAAATAAAGGAAGAATGAGTGAAGGAAAATGTTACATATTTGAAATATTACTAAAAAAAGTCAATGAAGAAAAATGGCAATGCTCCTTGGGAGCATACAGACTAAAACATAAAATGGCACTTTAAATAAAATACAGAAAGAAAGGGAATAACACCTGCAAGATGATAAGGCTAATTTCTGAGCAGTTACTCATCACAACTAAAAGGCACAATTTTACTACTTACTCCTGTATTAAATAATCAAGGGAAATTCCCAAAACAGTTGTCTTTAAAATGTATTTCAAATGATAATAGGGTAAAATATTTTATTTTAAAAGTACACTAATTCTGCTTTTAAAAAATTCCTATTGTTAGAAATTATCATTTTTATAAGTAATCCAAGTTATGGTTTTAATATTAATAAACACATACTTTTCTCTTTTAGCAATAAAATTAAAACTGTGTTTCCATGGCTCTAAGTTTATTTTCAATACTTAAACTTATTAAGCAATAGAATTTGTTACTAAATTTCTAACTTAGTCTTACTTTAACTAACAATCAAATATAGGAATATCTACATCTGGATACTGAATATCTACAGTATGTACAGCTGGAAATGGGCCCTGGCTTACCACATTCTAAGCCTCTTTGTCCCTGTCCTGTCAGTCCCTGGATCCCACCTTGAATCCTAAAAAACACACACCTGCCCAGCAAACTGGGAGTCAGCACCTGGGGTAAAGGTCAGAGTTACTTGAGCGCCTCACTGGGAAAACATTCAAACAGTCTAATTCTTTGGACTGATTTAGCATCTGTGTTTTCAACACAGGGATACCCTGAAGTATCTAGTGCTTCCTGGTGCTGAGCCCTGACAGCGTTAATATAGAAAGGTAGAGCAAGAATGGTTTTTGCCATTATGGAATTTAACTAGCTGGGAAGATGCAGATTACTGAAGTAGTCTGCTTCCTTTTAGGGTATATTCAGTACTGACACTATCATTTACAAGTGGAAAAAAAATTGAGTGATCTGTAATGATGTTATTAGTAGTAGCTAATAGCTAACAAATAGCCAATCTCCTTACTATACCAACTGTTTAGAAGTTTGTGTGTCTGGGCAGGTTAGTTTGCCCTAAGCAGACTGTTAAGTTATTTGCTTAATTCTTTGGAAATGCACGTATCTATGGTTTAGAAAAAAACAAAACAAAACAAACAAAAAACACCAACACAGTTACTAACATTTTGGATATAAAGTAAATATTAACTAGTAAGTCCAAAACTGCATTTTGAAAAGAACAATTAGGGTGGATCTGTCATTTTAAACCTTAAACACATAGTAATGTACTTTCAGACTATTTTTTAAAATTTTTATTTATGCGTATAAGAACAGATTTAATATATAATCTCAATTAAAAAAATGATAGCCAAAAAAATCTTTTATCTTTCCACTCAAAAAGGTATCTTGTAAAAAAATGACAGTGCTAGAACACAAATGAATTTAAAATACAACAAAATAACACAAGTAGATAGGTATTGCAGTGAAACTAATCTGGGCTTGAATCTCACCTTTATAGTTTAGTAGGTAAGTGACTTTGGTAAAGTTATTAAAACCCCCTCATTTATCTAATGAGAATAGAAAGAGATACTTGGTATTTTGTGAGGATTAAACAAAGTAGTCTACATTAAGCATTAAGCAGTGGGTATAAAATAAAATAAGCATTAAAATCCACCTTTTTTTCTGGTGTGTTTCACAATTCATTCATTCAGTTTCTACTGGATGTCACTATGCGCTAGCCAGGTACATTCCAGAGGCTGGCTTCTATTAAGTTTGATAGATGAAAGTCTTACAAAATAGAAGAATTTTAAAAAATCTAAACAATTCTAAGAAACATCTAACTTAAGCATCTCTCCTACTGGCAGGGATGGGGGCAGCGCTCCTGAGAACAGATAAGAAATATGTGGGGGAGAGTATTTTTCAATCACCATATACCTGCTGCTGATAATAGCATAAGATGAGAAAACTAACCTCAGGGATAGCAGTATGAGTATAGAAGGTGGCTGTTACCAAAATACAAGAGGAGGAAGATGGCATCAGAGGAGGTTTCTGACTTTGTTGTCATGAAATGGTGCAAAAATAGTCCAGAGTGGTACCAGAGGGCCAAGAGACTTGGGGTGAAAACAAAGCACCTCTTGAATGGAGACTAACATTGACTATGATAGAAGGGACACTAAAGAAATTCAACTCCATACAACAAATAGTGGATGAAGACAGGTGTCTAGTGACTCCAGACAAGGTGGAAATTTGCCATGAAAATCTCAGACTTGTGCTCCTATGTTTGGCCAGTGACCCAAGGGAAGGCCAAACTGATTAGTATGGAGGAATACCCTTAACTGAGATAGATAATGCACAGTGGGGCTGGGATGTCCAGGTCAGCCAGGTCCTCAGCAAAGAGGCCAGAGAACAGATGGCAGTCTTCCTCTGTCATCTACTTAGGACTCAAACTGATCCTGTGAGGCCTGACAGTGCAATACTTCATAAATATAAGTCTGGAATCTGAGAGGAGATCTTTCAGCAGTACCAAAAGTACTAAACACTCTTGCACATTAGTGACTGAACCCCTCCATGCCCTATTCTATTCTAGAATCAGCAGCTGTAGATCAGTTCTCCATGACATATATTGCCACCTGCTGAAAAAGTAGAAGCTCTACAACCTCAGGAAATAAAAAAAAATTGTCAAAACAGAAAGCTACAAAATGGGAACACTGAAAAATGCAGTATGTGGCACCTTTAGTCCTAAAGGGAATATTTCAACTCAAAGACAGAATGAATTCCAAAATCCATCCACAAAGACCTGGATGATCTTTTCTTTCTATCAGACACAGTGTTCAAAATTGATGAAAAACTTAAAAGAAATGGAAACACACACACAGAAAAGGTGTTAAAAGATATGTAAGAACTGTCCTATAAAATTAATGAACACACACCAGATGGTATCACTCACAGCAGGAGTATAAAGGACCAGGCGAGAAAATAATAATAATGAACAGCTATATACCAGAGACATTTTATGGGGTAGAATGGGGTCAAAAACAGTGGGGAGAGGGAAATCCACTGGACTATGATGATGGCACATGGGTGATTTGGTGAGGGGAAGCCCACAGGGATTACAACTGAGATGAAAAAAA